AACCAGACAGTCAGACGATGATAGCTTGTTGAAGTATGACAACTGGAAATAGCTGACTACGATTTTTTCACTTTATAATTTGTATTCATGTTTTACTTTTTGTGTGGGTGGGTGTACTGAGTGAATTTCTTCCATAGCTTACAGATGTTCAAAATTGAACAAAACACGCGCGCGCACATACACACAAATCAAATAGAATGGCAACATGGTCCTTCTAGGAATAACGACGATGATACAGTCAGCTGCTGAGTAAATTTGCGTTTCAATAACATTTATGTATGAAATCTGTTTGGGATTGAATGGATAGAAGTGTGGGCAGTTTATAAAATTAGAAAATCCTACAACAGATACATGAAATGGATAATAATCTACAGACTATATGAAACTTAAACAGCGTAAAACGTAAAACTTATCTAATACTTATATCAATTAATCTTTAAATTGTGTCACTTATGAATCGAGGCGATTATTTAGAATATTGGAACACTTATGATTAACAAAAATGTATGATTAACAAAATGGGTAACCTAAGGGAATCTTAAATTAATTGCGAGTTCAATAATGAACATCGCTAAGTCGACGTAGAATTTTATTTTTGATGTAAAATATACGATATTTTGGCAATATCGCCAGTTACTTAAGTATATGAAAAAAGTGAATAGTTTTGGTTTAATTGATCTGTCGTTGCAAACTGTTCATGATATTGACCTCCAAACTTTATTTTGGTGGAAGCTGTGTCTACTTTAATGGAAAAAGTGTGTAAAAACAGGCTGAGGCGAACCAGTATTTTTATGTTCTCTATCGATTTGTGATTAAGCCACTCATTTCACGGTTTTCGTGTTAAGGGAAACCCCCCCCCCCATTCTCGATTTTATTTTTTCAAGATTTTCAATGGGCTGGTAAATCAAAACCAATGCTTGTTAAGGTTTGTAATTGTGTAATTTTGTTATTGTTTTGTTGTTGTTTTTTTGTAATTAAAGAACAGCCCCTATTTTTGATGGCGGGCATGATAACTCCTCACTGGAACATCGGATTACGAAAATTCCAACGGTGTTAGAAAGAGTACAAGTCTGGCTCCCGTATGAACTAGGATTATTGACTTCGCTCTAAAATTAACAAAATGGTGGACCTTTGAAAAAATATTTTTGGAAAATCGCCGATTTTTTACCAAAACCCAAGTTAAAAAATAAGGAAGATTTTCACCGATTGGCTTTATCATAGTTATACACTCACAGAGAAACGTGTAAAAATTTGAAGTCGATTGGGTTATTAGTTTTTGAGTTATCGTGCCCGCCATTCGCAAAAAAATTGAGAAGCCCTTCAGCCTTCACTTGATGCTGACACAATAAATCGGCTATATCTTCAAGAGTTCTTGAGATTTTCAGTTGAAATTTTGTAGGGACATTCTTTAATTAGCGTAGATTCGAATTATGTCAACAAAATTTTTGACCCCGAGAATGGGGGGGGGGGGGAAGTAAAACTAGAAGCCAACAAAATGGGGACTACGGCCCTTATGTATCATTTTTCAAAAATTTAACTGTATCTACCGTTAAATGATGCTGACATTTTGAAGCTCGATTTTGAGTGTTTTTTGAATTTTACTTCTAGCATTAATACGCAAACAGGAGTTTCTAAAAACCGATTATAAGATTATTGTAGTCGCGAATCTGCGTAATTTGATATGTATTTTGTGTATGTAGTATTCACAGCTTCAGAGTAATAATTATCCGATGGTGAAAATTTTGTGTGATCAAATTTCTAAAAAAACTTATTTTTCGGGCCAAATTTTTAGATCTGTGTACCTGCGATAAATAAGGTTTTTTACGTTTCAGATGATATAAAATCTTTTTCGTGAAAATCCATCTACTAGAACGGCGGGAACTGGCCTTCCAAAAACATCAACGTTTTTGGCCAATATAATAAACGGCGTAATTTTAAGATTTTCTTTTCTTATGCTCAAAATTAAAACCTCGATAACTTTTGCGCACATCCACCAAAAATTTGATCGCGAACGGTTTCGGAGTCAGAACATTTTCCTCTATATGTGTCCCAAAAATCATTGATGTGCCACAAAAACAAAAAAGTTGATTGTTTAAAAATGGAATATTAAAAAATTCGCAATATTGCCCATATATTGTAGCGCAACCTAGAATATTTCGAGGTCTTGCAAACGGCATTGTCATTGAAAAAATCCAAAAAAAAAAAAACTGGGATGAGTGTTAAAAAAAAAATATTGTTTAAAAATCCACGCCTACAACTGGGATGAATGCTCAAAAATATTTTTTAACCAGTGAGCGGAGCAGTATAGTCGGACGGGGCCGACCATACGATACCCTACACAACTACCACGGAACTCTAACATTCTGCGTGTGTTTATTCCGAGCCTGGGCAATATTTCGTTATATTTGCTCAATCTAGCCCAATTAGAGATCAACAGCACCTCTTCATTACACTCACATATTTTCCGAATATTAATATTCTTATTCAGACAGCCATTATAATTAATTGTCCAGATTCCATTCGGCCTATTATTGACATCAAATCGAAAAAAAAAACAAAAAATTAAGTATTCAGTCCACTTCATCCCAATATTATAATTTGATCATCACCGAAAATTATAGGCGTACTTGACCATAACTAGAACCTCATACAACATTTAAAAGCGGTCAGTGTTATATTTCCACCCTCCATTCTGGTAATGGGTTACTAAATAATGTCGGAATACGTAGATACCTCTGAATATTTAATTGCAACTCCCACATACGACAGAGTACATACGACAGAATAATTGGTATCAATTTAAATGTCAACCACTCCTCTTGGATATAATATCAACTTCTCGGGTTTATGTCCTTCGGGAGTTAACATATTCGCCATAGAATACAAATGTTGTCATTTTTCACACAAAAGTAAGAGTCCATTTGACCAGCTAAATATTGACCGATCTTTATCAAAACATTTTAAAAATCCCAGCTTATAACTGGAATGCATGCTCAAAAAATATTATTTAAAAATCCACGCCTATAACTGGGATGAAGGCTCAAAAATATTTTTTAAAAATCCCAGCTTATAACTGGAATGCATGCTCAAAAAATATTATTTAAAAATCCAAAATTCTCGCCTTTTATTGGGATGATTGTTGAAAAATATTGTATAAAAATCCTTGCCTTATATTGGGATGACTGTTTGAAAATATTGTTTAAAAGTCCACGCGTTTTATTGGGATAAATGTTGAAAAATGTTGTTTTAAATGTTGAAAAAATATTGTATAAAAATCAACACATTTTATTGGGATAAATATTTAGAAGTTATTGTTTTATAATTCACGCCTGTTATTGGGATAGATTTTGAAAAGGTATTGTTTAAAAATCCATACTTTTTTAATTCTACCCCAAAAATCGAGAAAATGTTGAAATAATATAGGTGAAGAATCCAAGTCAATAATTGCTATACGTGTTGAAAAATGTAATTTAACCATCTGTGTATATTTTTGAGATAACGGTTATTGTTTAAAATAAGGAAAAATATTAAAATAAGAAACAAACCCCTATAGCTGAGATAACTGTTGAAAAATATAGCAGTATTTCAGTGTTTAGTTTTATATAGATTATATATTTGTGTATACTTATTGTTATATGTATATAGAACACAATTTATCTTCTTATAGTATTTCTATGACAAACATATGTACATCGATAATTTGCATGCAAATTTCAAAACTGTTTTTTTTTCGATTTCTGTTATTTTTTTCTTGTGTCTTTCATGCAAATGAGTTTTATACACGTGTGTATGAGGTATGATTGTATGTATGTATGTGTGCGGGTACAATATATCACTGTATATCGGAGTAATGTATGCATGAAATGAATGCAATTATATAATGGGAATTTAATTTTAACTGCCTTAACGAGATGCAACTCAAACTCAACAAAACTTGACAATCATTTCCGTTGTTCGACAAACAAACAAATCTTACCGTAGCTGATGGGAAAAGTGAGTGTTGATTGATTGGTTGGTTGGTTGGTGTTGATCTCTTGATTGTATTCTGTTCGCACAGATACACAGACACACACACACACATTCGAGTATACAACATATGATTGCACAGTGTTCGAGTTTGCATAACATTTCATAAATCCAATATTGATTTTTCTTAACTGTGTGTTTTTAATTAATTTTGGTTGGTTGGGTTTGACGGTGATTGTTATTGTTCTTGTTGTTGTTGTTTATTTTTTCAGAGGATATTCAGAGTGCAATTTGTGTTTGAAGAGATTGTGGTAGTAATAGTGGTGGTGGTGGAGTTAGTGGTAATGGTGTCATTTGGTTGGTGGTGGTAATTGATGAAGTGCGTTTTAAATTGAAATTCTTTAACAAATTGATTGATTGATTTAAGTCATGTGTCAAATGTTATTGTTTGCCAGGTTTAAATCTTTCATTGCAGAATTGTTGTTGTTCTTGTATTTTATTTAATTTCTTAGGTTTCTTTTTATTTGTTTTTAAATCGTGCATATCGAGGAGTTTAGTTTTGAGTTTTAGTAAGATTCACTTTATTTTTGATTTGATTTGATTATTGTGGTAAATAATATCGATTGTTAGCATTCCAAGTGTGTGGTGTATCGATACTTTGATAGTGTGACACCGATATTGAGGCTATTTTTTTTTTTTTTTGGAAAAGAAGAAGTTAATAAAATGAGGTAAAAGAATAAAAAAAAGTAATCTTTAGATAGTCATAGATAGAGTGATGCAGTGTTTCGCAGAGAAAAGAGGGGGTAAAATAGAGTTACAGCTGTTGTTTTGATAGACACGAAAGAGAAATATAGAGGGATAGTGATATTTCATCATAGACATGTTTTAATTTACTAAGATTTATGCAATAAAAGAAAGCTTAAAGCCTTGCCATTTTTCTTTTACATTGGTTTTACACAAACAGTGGATTAGCAGTCATTGTCTTTTTTTTTTGAGGTAATTTGGGAAAAAATGGAAGAACAAGTTTAACTTACGTCTTGAGCCCATACGTTTCACTGTCTGTTCGGTACCTAAACTCATGGCACGACCAACAGCCTTTAATGACTTCAGGATTTCCTCGGGATCTCTGCGTGCCACCGAAGATCGACGACGACCCACCAAATAGGTGGCAGGAGGTGGAGCCATATCATCTTCTCGATTCTTGTCAGCATCCTGAAATGATGATCGTCGAGATCCAGGCAATGATCTCGAAAAATCTTTGCCCAACTGATAGACTTCCACTTCCAGTGTCTCCGATTGGGATGAACCACGTCGTGAGCCGGCAATCCATGCATGATCCGGATGCAACAGAGACGTACACTCACCAATCGAATCCACATCATCCGAAATGGAACGTTGCATATTATAATCTCTGCGTAGCAGACGTGAAACATCGCCTCCGGGAGCGCCCGCAGCTATAGAGCCACGCGGTGATACACTGGGGGATTTTGACATGCTAATGCCGCGCAAACCTTTCGGATCTTCGAGACGACACCAAATGGCGCGATCGTCTAGAAATACCTGTTGCAACTCGATATTGCATTCGCCCAAAAATATGGACTCGGTATGTGGTACTAAATCCCACAATTGTATATCAATGTAACGATCCATGAGGTGTTCGGCTTTCACGTGAGCAAAGGATAATGTTGCATTCCATATCGGATTTTGTGTGGGTGGACTAACTTCGGTTTGTTGGACAGAGCCATCGCCGCTGGAAAAGAAATGTGTAAACAAATCATGAATATCATTTATTATAAAAGACAGAAATAAAACTCTACAAATACCCCATAAATGGGGTAAATGTTAAATAAAACTTTAAAAAATCCACTCCTAAAGTTGGACTGGGCCGACTTTATGATACCTTCACCACTTTGGGGATATTCAACATATGTAACTTTACAGATGTCCTATTTTCGAAGGAACATTGACATGAAATTGAACGAACCTCAAAATGCGATTTTTATCTATAAGTAAACCGACTAACATCAATTCTTATACATGTCATTCTGCAATCTAGTCCATACTTTGTAAATAGACTTTAAGCAAACTTTACTCACGCTATTTGTTATGCTTCACTGCTTAAAATGTTATATCAATCAGGCACTCATTGATTACTTGGTTTACAATCAACATGAATAGGTCGAAATTATGTATGGAAGCTATAATATATCTAAATCTGAACCGGCTTACATTTACATTAAATCGGATGAAAATATATATGGGAGCTATATCGAAATCTGAACCGAATTTCACCAATCCCAAATTAGACCCAATCCCAAATTTCGTGCAAATCGAAAGATATATATAGGGACTTTGGAGATTCATGTACCTTAAATCGGACGAAAATATATATGGGAGCTATATATAAATCTGACCCGATTTTCTCGAAACTTGGTACACGTCATTCTGGACCTAATTCAGTACTTAATGCCAAATTTCGTGCAAATCGAAAAATATATAGAGACTTTGGTGCACCATTTACATAAAATCGGACGAAATTATATATGGGAGCTATATCTAAATCTGAACCGATTTTCAGGAAACTTAACACACATCATTCTATACCTAATTCACTACGCTCTGCCAAATTTCGTGCAAATCAAATGATATATAGGGACTTTGGTGCACCATTTACCTTAAATCGGACAAAACTATATATGGGAGCTATATCTAAATCTGAACCGATTTTCTCGAAACTTGGCACACATCATTCTGTACCTAATTCCGTACCCTATGCCAAATTTCCTGCAAATCTAAATATATATAGGGACTTTGGTGGACCATTTACATGAAATCCGACGAAAATAAAAATGGGAGCTATATTAAATCGGAATCGATTTTTCCCAATTTTAATAGGGTTCGTCCTTGGGCCAAATAAGTGACTTGTGCCAAAGTTGATCCAAATCGGATCACAAATGCGACCTGTACATTGTTTACAATTTAACATCTACAGATGGAAGGACGGACCTGCATAAATCGACTCAGAAAGTGATTCTATGCATATTCTTAAAAGGAACCATGTGTCTATCTCATTTCCTTTTGCCTGCTACAAACATATGCATAAAGACATAATATCCTGTACCACAGTGTGGTGACGCGTTGAAGAAATAATGTTTAAAAACTCAAGCCTATAAATCGGATAAATGTTGAAAGCCAGTGAGCGGAGCAGTATAGTCGGACGGGGCCGACCATATGATACCCTACACAACTACCACGAAAAGCAAACTTTCTGCGGTTCTATATTCTGAGCCTGGACAATATTTCGTAATATTTGCACTTATTTATATTTGGTCACTTTAGGTTTAGGGGCATATTGACCGATCATCATCTAAAAAACCGCTCTAAGTATTTGGTCACCTTGTAAAATAAGTGCCTCTATAACGACTAGAAAATCTGACAAAATTAAAGTTTTCTATTCATTGCACCCCCTGAATGAAATCTCAACTTCACCGAAAACTATAGGCGTCGTTCTTGACCATAATCGGAACTTCATGTACAATTTCAAAGTGATCAGCGCGACATTTCCGTCCTCTAATGGAGTAATAGTAATACTAGGCACATAGTCACATTTACCTAATTACGGTAACTCCCACATCAGAGTACATATAGCCATATAGTTGGTATTAATTTGAAGATCAACAACTCCTCTTGGATATACTATCAACTTCTCGGGTATATGTCCTTCAGGAGCAAGTATATATGCCCCCAGAATAAAGATTTTGTAATTTTTCATACAAAAGTCAGGGTCCATTTGACCCGCTAAGTATTGACCGATCTTTATGAAAACAGCCATGCTTATTGTTTGGTCCCACCCCCTTCACCATGCAAAAATTCGTGGTGTTTGTGCAATAATTGCGGCCTCTGGAGCGACCAAAAAACCGACAAAAATAAAGTTTTTGGTCCATTTCATCCCCTAAATATTAACCGATCCTTTCCAAAAAACAATAGGGGTCTTCATTGGCCAGAACCCATCCTACATGCAAAATTTCGTGAAGATTGGTCCATAACTGTGGCCTGTATCGTGTTTACCAATTATAATGGACAGACGGACGGACGGACACACATGTCTAGATCAACTCAGCTAGTCGAGATATGTATAAATATAATATTTTAAAATCCACGCCTATACATGGAAAAAATGTCGACAAAAATAATGAAGATGACTGTCGAAGACAGTCGAAATATTGGAAAATAAAAATTAAAAAGCTGAAAACAAGATACAGGATTTTATTTAACCTTAAGCCGAAACAAATCCAAATAAGAAAAATAATACATCACAGGTTAACAAAAATAATGTTTAAATAAAAAACCTCGTACTTGGGATAATTATTATATTGTTTAAAAGTCCACACGAATAGTAGTTATAGTTTTTGAAAAACATATTGTTTAAAAAGTCATGTCATGTATTGTTTAAAAATCATTCAGATAGCTATTAAAAATGTTTATTTAAATAAAAAAATCACGCTCATTTTTTTAACAACTCTTCTTTACTTACCATTTTGGTAATATTCGAACTTTTGCATAGGCTTCTGGCAAATTTCCATGACCATAGGCTTCATCCCGCAATGCCAAGTCGTCGGCAGCCATTAGAGATACGGCCAATTCACTTCGTTCACTGTGATACCAAACTTGGATTTGTACCCGACCACTAACCATTTTTTCTCGGGCAATTTGTTCCTGTATAGTTTACCGAAGACGAGGAACAAAAAAGGAAGCCACAAAAGCAACGATTTCATGGCAAAAAGAAGTGCAGGAATAAAAAATTCAATTAGCAAACATTTTAGTTTTGAAAGTTTTTTTTTTGCAGGTTTAATTGCTGAGTAAATTATATAATGGTAAATGTTATAACTATATATCAAGATACTTTGTCAAGTATAATTGGACAGTTTTCTGTACTTTAGGTATACAATTTCTTTAAATGGAGAAGGATTAAAAATGTGTCACTGGGTGTTTTGTTTTTTTTTTTATTATTGGAATTACACTTTTTTCTTGCTGTCCAGTTGCATATTGGAAGTAATTATTTTTGTGGTTGAGACTTTTTGGTGTTGCGAAACAAAAAATGTATATGTAAAAAATATTTACAGGAAATTAAATGAAATAAAACTAAAATAACTTTTTTTAAAAAAGCAACAAAAAGTTATAATAATTGTATAAATGTGTAAGTATGATGTTTTTTTACATGTTATATATAATGAAATAATGCTGGGTGCTTTCATAGTTGATTGCTTTACTGCTATCCAGTAGGTGATAATTTACACTAAATTATTATTAATTTTGGGTGTACAAAGATTAACACTAAATACAACTAGGAAATAATTTATAAATATTTAATATTAATTTTTTAATATTTAATATTAATAATTAATAAAAATAAAACATTTAAAAATCTTACTGGAATGCGATATGATATTTTATGAATTAGGGAAATTCTTAAATTGGAGAGGGCCAGCAATCTTGAATTTTGCATGCCTAAACCACCTCATTGACCGAACTTGAGGCAGAAGGTGTTGGCTACATCAAAAAATGAGATTCTGGATGGAATTTTAAAAGTAAGTATGAAATTGGAACGATTTGGGTTTTTTGGAAATATATACATCATTTCTAGACTTTCATCGTTTTGAATGTGTAGAGCTTGGACAAGGATCCACCATTCGCATTATTACACCCTCAGCATTGTGGCTAAAAATGTGTATCATCAAAATATTGCTGATGTCTATAAATTAAATAAATGTTAAAAAATATAATTTTTAAAAATCCAGGCCTATAAATGTTGAAAAAGTTCTCGTATATCTTGCCTCTAAGGTTGATGCGCACGATACCTCTCTAGATTTCATCCAAACATTGCACATCATAATATTTCTTCCAATTTTAAATCTAGTTCGAAGATTGGAAATATCGGACCACTCCTTCAGGTACCTCCTCCACCAAAAATCCACAGTTATAAAATTTCTGTGGATAATATACCGATTCACTATATATTTGGACTTAATATATAGTATAGATAGTTAAAATGAAATTGGATGTTCATAAAATATTTACAAATTTTTAAAATTTAACAAAATTTGAGGTATTAGAGCAAGATAATCGATAAATGTATTTTTTAAACATTAATACTTGATTAAAATATTAGACTGTGCAAAATTCAGATCTGAAGTCATTTTTAGCAAAATTTTGAACATTTTGAACCAAAAGTTTGGGGTAAATATTAAGAGTGGGTGAAATCGATGGCACTCTTCGTGCACATCAGCTACCGAAAGAAAGAACATACATTTTTGTTGTATACCTGGCGTCTTATGATGGATGATAAATATCTTTATTTTCCATTTATGTTCTGCATAATGAATTCCAGGAATCCATTGCGTATGAGTGATACATACAAATGATGTGCACGAAAGACATTGCGAATACGCCACCTGTCCCTAATTGCATCATGACAGTGATTTCTACAAAAGTATTTCTTTTTATACCCTTCACCACTCTCTGGTACAGGGTATTATGTCTTTGTGCATATGTTTGTAACAGGCAAAAGGAAACGAGATAGACACATGGTTCTTTTTGAGAATATGCATAGAATCACTTTTTAAGTCGATTTTTGCATGTCCGTGCGTCCGTCTGTCTGTATAATTAAATTGTAAACAAAGTAAGGTCGCATTTATGATCCTAATTGGATGAAATTTGGCATAGGTCACTTATTTTGCCCAAGGACGAGCCCTATTGAAATTGGGAAAAATCTGTTCAGATTTAGATATAGCTCCCATATATATTTACGTCCGATTTAATGTAAAAGCTCCTATATATCTTCCGATTTGCACGAAATTTGACACAGCGTACTGAATTAGGTCTAGAATGATGTATGTTGAGTTTCCAGAAAATCGGTCCATATTTAGATATAGCTCCTAAATATATTTTCGTTCGATTTAATGTAAATGGTGTACAGAAGTCCCTATATATCGTTCGATTTGCACGAAATTTGGCACAGTGTAATGAATTAAGTCTAGAATGATGTGCGTCAAGTTTTCTGAAAATCGGTCCAGATTTAAATATAGCTCCTATATATATTTTTGTCCGATTTAATGTAAATGGTGTACCAAAGTTCCTATACATCTTTTGATTTGCACGAAATTTGACATATCGTAGTTTTGGCATAACTTATTGAATTAAGTCCAGAATGATTTGTGTCAAGTTTCCTGAAAATCGGTTCAGATTTAGATATAGCTCCCATATATAGTTTCGCCCGATTTTATGTAAATGGTGCACCAAAGTCCCTGCAAACCTTTTGATTTGCACGAATTTTGGCATATCGTACTAAATGGAGTCCATAATGATGTGTAATAAGTTTCGTGAAAATCGGTTCTCCTATATATATTTTCGTCCAATTTTATGTAAATGGTGCACTAAAGTCCATATATATCTTTCGATTTGCACGAATTTTGGTATAAAGTACTGAACTAAGTCTAGAATGATTTGTACACCTCCTATATATCTATTTTCGTCAGATTTTAAGTAAATGGTGCACCAAAGATCCATAGCTCGTGCGATTGACACAACGTACAGTAGTTAATATATATTAATCTCTGGCACGTTTCCTTTGAAATCGGTTCAGATTTCAGCATAGCTTCCATATATAATTTCGACTTATTCATTTTAATTGTACACCAAATAATCAATGGGTGTTTGATTGAGATTAAATTTTTAACAGGGCAGCAGATTTAAAAATTTAGTTTAACATGTGTAGAGGTTGCTGTTAGTCGGTTTAGATATAGATGAAAATCACATATTTAAGTTCTTTCACTTTCTTGTCAAAGTTCTTCGAAATATACCCAAAGTGGTGAAGGGTATCATATAGTCGGTCCAGCCCGATTTTACTACTTTCTTTACTGGTTTTTATTATTATTTATTGAAATACGAAAAATAGCCCACGTTGATTCCGTTTTTATATTATTCTTTCTTAAATCAAACATACTTTTTTTTCCGATTTCCACTTTACAAATGTTCAACTAATTTAATGGCAAATGCTGTACAAATATTAAAGTACTTTCTTCGATGAATGCTCCACATTTATGCCATTATCTACTCTCTACGTTTATTAACATTAAAATAGCTGAAATAAATTTGTTTGGCTTTTTGTCTTCATCGTGTTTTCCTCATTATAATTTGAAAGTTTCCAATCTCGTTAAATTATCTTTTTTACAGTCGTTTATGAGAAAGCGAAAATACCAGAAAATCATAAATAAAAATGTTTAACAGATGAGCAACTTTAAATAAATTTATATTTGATATATTAAAATAATTTTTTTAAATTAGTTATTTTTACTCAATATTTGAAAATGTGTTAAAAATGGTAGGACAATATTACTAAGACCATTAAAATGCCTATATATATGGGCTGAATCTTTATATGAGATGAAACTGTTATGCTATACTCAAAGATCATGCAAAATTGATCATTTTATGGTAGGAAGATTTGACACCCAATGAGAACGCATAGTAAAATTACAGCCAATGAGAAACAAAGTCAAACCGCCCAAAATACTGAATAAGTGAGGCTACCACGAAACTTGGGTCCACTAGGATTATTTTTCGTAGGGAGATGTTTAAAATGTCAACTAATTTGGTTGAAAACCCTGGCCAAGTACCCAGAATACCGAAATTTGTTAAGTCGCCTTATATTGGGATTATTCTAAAAATGGATGAATGGAAGATTTGCTACCAAATGAGAACTCAATATAAAATTATACCAAAGTACTATATATATTTGGATGAAAAATGACCCCCAATACCTACTATTGGCCAAAAATCCAGCATCAAGTAAAGACCTCAATAATAGAATTCGTGAAAGCAGCGACATTATGATTTGGTTGTGTGAAGGCGTGACCATTTATCTGATATTTTTTTCCTTATTACTCGAAACCTTCGTCCTTTAATTTGAAATAAAAATTCCCTCATTTATCTCAAACACCGTTTATTGGAAACCCCTAATATTTGTCCAATATACAATTTTCTATTTCTAAGATAAATATGTCTATCGATGTCCGCATAATATCCGCATGTTATCGGAATAATATAAAAATAATCAAAGTACAATTTGCCCTGATTGTCTCATAATGCCATTTTATAAACCTTTACTACTTTTTTAGCTTTAAAATAACTGATATTTATTTATTTTTTGCTCTTTTGAATTATCATGTTTTCGGAATCTTATTTTCAAAGTTTTTCATCTCGTTGATAGCATTGCAATATACTTTTTATATTCCGCTTTGAGAAAGTCATAAATGTCATAAAATTTTATATGTATAATATACGATGAAAATGTAGAAAACGTCTTTTGAGAATAAATATTTTATTATAAGGAAACAATATAACTTTCAAAATATTTTTATGTATATTTATAAAAACAAAATTATAGAATTATTTTCTTTGAATATTAAAAACTACAATTTTGAAATGGAAGTTAGAAAAGGAAACAAGAGCGCCATTTAGAAAAGAACGAACGTCGAATGTAATGTTGAGACAGAATTAGAATCAAAAGAGTGAACTGTGCCAAGTTTCGCTGCTCTTGTACAATTTTCCAAACCTACTTTAAGTACGAACATGTGGTCTATAGGGTAACCTCTTCTGGCATAAAACCTCTTTAACCTCTTTGATAAAAACATATCACTTTTACACAACAAATAATA